AAGCAATGCAAGATTGACAACCCTAGACCAGAGAATGAAGAGCTTATTTTATCAGCAGACAGATGGCTCAGCCCACATCAATAGCCACCTCCTCCTCCTGGTGGCTCTTGTTGGGGGTGGCTCAGCAATGGCCTGGAAGGACCATGTCTTGGTATGGAGCGTATTAGGTCAATTCCAGTGCAAAGGCAGTAACTCCCTCCTGGTCCAAATGCTCTTTGCCCATGACCTCTTCCAGATTACTTGGTTTTAACTGTATTCTCAAGTAAGAGCAGTGTAACTTTTGAGTAGTCTCCTAGATAGCCTTCTGCAGTTAATAACCCGTGTGTAAAGACAGCCAGTACCACAGTGTATGTGGGGGAGGAGGGTGGGCAACAGAGGTACTAATGTTTAAAGCAACTCTCATTTGAGTTACCCAACCACTGTGTAAAAACAGAGATGGCATCAAACCAAAACCCTGGGTTGTTCACATTTTGCAGAATGGCTTTTATCTTTTCAACAGAGCCAAAACAAGACTCCAAAATTCAGGGCAGCTGAAATCTGTATCCAGACTTCTTGACTTGGGACCATCTATGTAACATAATTGCCCCTGCCCACTGCCTCTATTTCGACTTAAAAGACAAAGTCTTATATTGGAAGCATCAGTAAGACTCTTGACCATGCTGGTGCCAACATTCATGGGAGACAGAAGAGGCAGAGCATACTTTTTAGCCCATCAGCTGGTATTTCACTATTCCAGTCAGCTTCCAGTGTCAGCCAGTGTGCATTTTCCTCCTGACTTCTTCTTCCCCCATTTTCCCCATCAGCAGTTTTCAATGGGAACACCATGTTTCCCATGCTTCTGCACATTCGTAGCAAAAAAGGAGGCCTACCTCTTTCTCTCCCTTGTGCCTTGTTAACTTTCTTTAAGAGATGATTATCCTTCCCCTTCTTCCCCAACCCCCACTCGCTATGTTCCTGCTCATTATTCTTTTCTGCTTCAACAACGCTCACTTGCCAGTAGCTCTGCTTTGAATTTTTAACATTCTCCACATAGTCCTAACTCTCCCTCACCTGAATAGTGACTTACAAAGCATTCTCTGCATATTCATTCTGAACAGCTGGCCTCCTCTGCAGAACGACACCATTTTTCAGCTCCCTTCCTCCACCTCCCCATCAGAAATAAGGGAAAAGACATTTGTTTAAAACAGACTGGCTCAGCTTTGCTCTCCCACTTAAAACTAAGTTCTCCATCTCATGCTAACCTGAAACACAAATGGCACTGCCCGAGAAAGTGCTATATATTAGTATCACAGATTCTCAGCTACTGATGGCCAAACTCTAAAATGGGGTAGGGCTGGGATTCGGGTGAGCACCTCCAAGCCAGATAAGCTTATCAGCAGAGACACTGTGGCTAGGTACAGTTAGGCTTAAAAGGCCTAAGGAGGAATCGGGCTAAGTTAAGTGGTTTTCTGTATACGGCATAGTTTAAATCAGTAGTGAACAGAACACACATTTGCCCTTTGGAGGGACAGAGAGGGAGGCAAATCTTAGACAGGGTTCTACCATTTTTAAACCAGTCTGCACATGCCAAACTTCTGTTGTGTTATGGGTACAGACCAGTTTCCAATCAGTTATACTGGTAAAAGTGTAATGTCTGTACCTGGCCTGTAAGGCTAAGTACAGGCAGTCAAAAAGCCAGGGGCTGAATTGATTCAGTCTTCAAAGGTTAGTCTTAAGATGCGTAGATTGAACTGCTAAGCAGACATTCACTTTTGATTCTAGAAATGCAGCCACATGCATGAAGTGGCCCAGGCCAAAAGCTGGGAGGTGCTAGACCAGGGGTGAGCAAAATGGTGTATCTGGCTGCCTGTGGCCAGTTTTCACGGAGATCCCAAGAGCAGTGAGGCTGTAACAGCACGCGGCCAGGGTTTCCATGGAGACCAGCCCTGACTCATTTTGGCCATTTTGAAAGTACACTGAATTGCTGTTGTGTTAGAGGTTTGAACTGGTTTCCAATCACTTATGCCAGTTTGTGTACAATTTTTGTCCCTAGCCCAAATGTCACATGGAAGTTTAATGGGTGTGAGTTGTGAACTGTAGACTCAGATAATGATTCAGAAGTGCAAAAAAGTGTCTTGAGAAAAAGATTTCAAAAAAGAAATATATTTATCATTTTAGCTCCTATAGGAAATGAAATAACTTAGGGAGTCTATACACATGCTCCAGGGTGGAGGGGGTGTGCTGTAATTAGAGCAGCTTCAAGAGCTGCTCTAATTAAAGCACCCACAGCATCACATGTATTCAGTGCCCTGTGCTTCAAAATGGCAGCAGGGGCACTTGAACTAAAGCTTGTTCGATAAGCTTTAGTTCAACCGCCCCTGCCACCATTTGGAAGTGTAAGGATGCTGAATAGACATGATGCTGAGGCCACTGAAGTACGTTAATTAGCATGATTAATTGAGTCTGCTCCAATGTGTGCCAATTAGCATGCATCAGAACAGACACCTGGCATGTGTATAGGTGCCCTTAAATTAAACAATTCCCCAGCAACTTCAGGAAAAAATACAGCTCCCAGCTAAGCTAAAAGCTCCCTGTCTAAACAAAATTGTTGCAGCCTGGCTAGAGACCTTTGAACAGCTTCTAGGCTGTATTGGTCCATCAAGGCAGCAAGGGGGCCCTCTGCACCCTGTGCAATCTGAGTGCCCAATGAAGCCTGACAGGGAGAAGCTTTATAAATCCTGAACTCCAACCCTACTATATGCCAGCCAGTCACTCTCACTGTTGCACCACTCTATCATAGTAAGAACAACAACGTCAGTGGGCAAGCATGTTAAGGCATACCAGTTTCTGTAGCCGATGACATATAAAGAAATGATGCAGCCAGCCACCATCACATCTGGCCATTTTTTACTTTCTAACCCAGGTGTGTGTTCAGAGAAAGGTTCAGACTTATGTCTTTAGAGCTGTAACAAAATGCCTTAGGCACTCTTCCACTGTACTCCAGGGACAATGCCAGCTTTTGTATTATGGAGGCATCTGTGATTTCCAAATCAGTAGAGGCCCAGTGGTAAGAAAGAGAGTGAATTAGGTGAATGGAACTTTGATGGACATCTCATAACCATATAAAAAAGACTGGTGCCAAGTCATTCCTAAAAATGTGAAAAGTCTCAGAAACAAGGATAAAGGGATTTTCTTATTTTTCTGAGAACTAGTGCATTCTTCTCTAGTCTCACAGGTTTAAGCTCATTTATTGCAGCAGCTGGTCCTAGGTCCAGGATCTCAACTACACTATCCTGATCTATTCAGGATCTTGACTACATCGGGGAACAGACATCAAAATGCTTCAGGTGACACTGAAAACTGCTGTCTCATCAGCAAGTTTAAGTTGTGTCAAACTCCACACTCATTATAGCAGGGGTGGGCAAAATACAGCCTCCGCACCATATACAAGAGGAAGACTTCATTTTAAGCTACTATATACAATCACCTCTGTGTACACTACACAAACACATGTAAACCAGGAGAAAAATATTTTGTTTTAGATGTTTGCTTTTTAGAATATAATTTGGTATTTTTCTAGTTCTGAGATGGCAAATCCCCTTGCTGAAAGGAGTACTTCTGGGGGCAAGGGGAAGGACTTCTGGTGGCAAAGATCAGGGGTTAGGGGGCAGGACTTCCAGTCCCAAGATGGTGACCAGGGGGGCGAGGCGCCTGTCAAGGGGCAGAGCTACCCATGAGGCCCTTGACAGCTTGCCAAAACTCAGTAAGCAACCCTCAGCCTGAAATAATTACCTGTCTCTCTGCATTATAGCAAGCATGCAAGCCACCTGGTATGGGGACAGGAGAAGACTGAAGCACCAACTCCACTGCCAAACAAGTGCTGAACTTGACAGATTCACCTAGGCCTGCAGGACAACTGTTTTCACATCACTTGGGAGAAGTTGTTAGGACCCCTGCTTTGAAAAGTAAAGCCATTTTCCATCTCTCTGACACAACCCAAATCTGTCAGCAATTAAGATATATGACTTCCATGAGAATTCTGTAAAGACAGCAAGGCCTGACTAGGTGTGCTGGACTTTAGGGATCATTTTCCAATTAATTCACAAATTAAGAAATTCATTGATTTTGAGGCTGGAATGGACCATTAGATCATCTAGTCTGACCTCCCTGTATGTCACTGGCCTTCATATTTTACCTACTTAGCCCACCATTGAGTCCAGTGACCTATGTCTGAATAAAGTGCATCTTCCAAAGAGACATTCAGTCTCGATTTGGACACTTCAAGGAATAGATAGTTCAGGTACCAGTTTTCATACATTACTCTGCAATGCAGTACAAATATGACACACATGACAAATTATCTCTGCATGCAAAGCAGCTACAGGGACAAAGGACTGGATAGGGCCTTCTGGATCATTTAGTTCAGTCCCTTGCATTTGCAAGTAATCATTTAACCGAAGAGTCCCCAAAATCAGCAGTTCAGAAACTTGCACACAACCGCAAGGCACAATATCTGAAATGCCAAGATGACCTTATAGCATGGTAGAAGCAGGGAAGATGAGAACACTGCAAATGTCCTGCCATTTCAAAGACAGGGAAGACTTCTTTGTCATCTCTCTAATCCTATCTTTCTATATGGTCTGTTCCCAAGATTCTGCACAGGCCACTGCTTATGGTGTTGGTGTTTCCAGATCTTGTGGAGTGTATTGTGGTGTTACATGGCATCTCAGGAGATGATCCATGGTTTGCTTCTCCTGACACACATATTGGTTGGTTGCATAGAGGCGCCATGATTTCATGAGAAAATTTCATCTTCTGAGACCCACTCTCAATCTGTTCAGGTTCTGCCACATACACCATTTGTAGCTGGAGAGAGGGAATTGCTTGATATTGTTCACTATTCAAAAAGATTTATAGTAATCTGCTAAGAAAAAAGCTAGGCAAAGCTGGAAACAATGCTTAAACCAGTGATTCTCAACCAGGATAGTGTAGCACCCTGGGGTCCTTTTAAGGGTAGCTTAACATTAGCAATGTTAAATATATAAATACCTGCATATGATTCACAAAATGAACCAAGAGGTTTCAAATAAGAAGCCACAGTGCTGAAAACATTTTGAGCTGCTGGGATCTTTCAGAGTTTTTTGGAACAGAAGGAATGTTCTATTACTTTTCTGTAGTCAAAAATCAAGTGAAAATTAAGAGCTGGCAATTTCCAAGGGATGCCTTGTGTCTAATGAAGGATGCCTTGAGTCCAAAAAAGTTAAGAACCACTGGCCTAAACACTTGACTCCACACAAAAAACACACTCTAGTCAATATGGAAAACAGACCCCCCACTCCAATAAAGGAATTATCCAGAGTGCCAATTAGCTCAGTGCTGCCCAAATTAAAATGAATTCAGAGTCCTTCTGAACCACAGACTAGGTAAGTGAGACCACAGGTTTTCACCCACGGGGTCATGAATAGGTCTAGGTATTTGCCTCCGCCTTCCTTTCTTTACAAGAGAAGCATGGGGTCCCAAACTCTCTGCCTGTTGTAACACACAGTCATGTTCCAAAAAAGGGTGAGAACCAACTGGGAAAAGAGGAAGAGAAAGACTGTAGATAAGTTTATGTGAGGTGGGCTAACATGAAGTTCAGCCTTTCACAAAACACCTGTGCAAAGACATGGCATAAGAAAAGTATCACAGAGAATCAGAGAATCCCATTTCGTTATGTACTTCAGTTTGCTTGCCTGGTGTTTCTGTAAGGCCACACATTGCCCTGCAGTAAATCTATAGTGTCAACACATAACAGCTGCAAAGCACTGATTGGCATGTGGCGCTGTATAGCAGGCTGGCTATTAGCAGTTATCCAGCTAATAGCAAGACTTGTGTTCAAAGTCAAGCACAGTTTGCTGACCTGCCTTAACAGGCTTGTCAAAGCAGGCCTTTGAAACAAAAAAGGTTTAGCCACCAATAAGGCTGAGCTGCTTTCACTCATTTGCTTTGGCTGCTTTCACTCATTTGCTCCTTTTTTGGCTGATAGATGAGGCTCACAGGACTCACTGGAAGTCCCCATGGATTTGGGGCATTGGGGCTGGAAATCTGTCTCACGCAAGGGTGTAACTAGAAGCAGAGACAAAGTTCAGTGAGCCTAGCAGGTAATTTATAGGAACTACAGCTGCAAGGTATCAAATGAACTGAATGGGTCAAGAGATGTAGTAGGATACAGACCTAGCTCTCATTTTTATGGTACTTAATTAAATTCCCTAAGGTTGGCAATGATTACATGTCATCACTGTATGATATAAAAGGCACTGGTCATAAAATACATGGATAATGCTAAGTTGGGAGAAGATGCCAATTCTTCACAGGACAGTGAAACAGCAAAGGACACTGGGGGCCCAGAGATGGAAACGCTCTCTGAAAGAGAGATTCTTAATATCATTAGGGAACCTAGAAAGCAGAACTTCTAGAAGAGATGGACAATGGATAGCTAATCAGACATCAAATAGCAATACAATATGACACTAGAGAAGGCCTATGAAATTTTGGCCTACATACCCAAAGGCAAAACATAATGGAGCAGGATGACAGTATTTCCTCCCTCTGTATAGCTAGGGGGCTAAATCCTGTTTCACATTACAAGGCTAACTGGGGTGTGGGATGCACCCAGTGCTGGTCCCAGGTGGCAGGAGCAGCCTCCTGTGATCTGGCAGGCAGGTCTGGGGCCTGCCCACACCCCTGGGAGGAGTCTGACAGAGCCCTGCAGCCCTCCCAGAGGTGCAGGCCCCTGATCTATCTGCTGGATGACAGAAGGCTGCTCCTGCTGCCTGGGACCGGCATTAGGCGCAGCCCGCACCCAGTGCCAGGAAGACTGGTACTGCCACTGGCCCCAGGCAGCAGAAGCAGCCTCCTGTGATCTGGCAGGCAAATCGGGGGCCCACACCCCTGGGAGGAATCTGGCACAGCCCCCACAGCCCTAGCACCAGGAAGACTGGCACTGCCGCTGGCTCCAGTTGGCAGCAAAAGCATGCTGTCATCCGGCGTGCAGATCCAGGGGCTTGTACCCCTGGAAGGACTAGGAGATATGCCAGAACTGTCCCGGGAGGCATGGCCTCTGATCTGCTCTGGATTACAGGAGGCTGCTGCTGCCAGCTGGGACCAGCGCTGAAGCCAAGTAAGCCCGACATCAAAACTCAAAACATTTCAAAACTTTCAAAACATTTTGAGTGCCCTTGTTTCATTTCAAAGCTGTTTCGAAGGATTTTGTTTCATTTCAATTTCATTGTTTTGAGCTCAAAACGCATTGAAACAGCTTCAAAATGATACACCCAGTGAAATTTTGCACAGCCCTACCAAGCATCCCTAGCAGGGCTACACTCCAGCTGGGCATCTGTCTAGCTCCAACTAGGACCCCTCTCCCAACTTTTAGCTCAATACCCTACTGGTTGGGGCACTTGCCTGGGAAGAAGACACAGGTTCTAGCCCCCCCACCTCCCATACAGAGCTTGAACCTGCTTCCCAGCAAAATCTTCCAAAAACCAGGTCAAGTATAACTCAAGACTCCTCCAAAAGTTGGTCCACAGACATGCCAAGAGAGGGAGATCTGTGGGGCCAAGAGGAAGGTAACAGCTAGGAGATTTGTAGCTCAGAGAGACAGATGTTGCCTTAGATCCTAGCCTGGGCCCCTGCTCCCACCGGGAAATAAAATTTCCCAGTATTATTAGTCATTTTATCCATTAAATATTGAATATAAGGTGCAGTGAGCCAACTTCAAGACAAGGACTAGTGCATGGATTGGACAATACCTAGTATATAGCCCAATGTTCAGAGCACTTTGCTTAAGAGAGAAAGGGGCAGGAGCATCTAGAACTTGGATCTCTTCTACCCAGGCAAGTGCCCTAACTATTAGACTAGTGGTCAAGAACATGGGAGGGTCCTCTTCATTTGTCATTTTACTTCCAATGTGTACACATGCAGGACAATCCTATTTCACTGCAGGGGGAAACAGAATACCAAACTGTGCATAAGTGAGGAAAAATGCAGTTCTCCATGACTATGAAAAAGGATTTAAACCATAATGTGGCTACACCTGGTATGTTATATACCCTTATGGGTACTGCATGACCAGAAGGATACTGACAAATCAGCAGCAGTTCAAATAAGAGCAACAGGCACAATTTAGGTTTGAAGGAGTGAGAAAGATTAAACCAGCTAACTATGCATGGCTAGTCTGATAGATGACTGTGTGGGTAGGAAGAGCCTGGGTGGGGGTGAGAAGATACAGGATAACAGTCTAGAGACATTTGAAGGCTGTTAACATTAAGGATGGAGATAAATTATATAGCAGAGCTTAATGACATATAATTGGATAAAAATGAGAAAAGGAAAATAAGGATATTAGGAAGAGGTCCCTGATGGCAATACCCATTGAGCTATAGAATGAAGAGAAAAGGAGCCCCACTGCATAAGACTTACAAAATACTAGAAAATGAGCTGTAGGAAACAATCTGACCCAAGCCAGGAGATGATTTGGCAGGCCATTTCTAACTCTGATTTCACATAGCACAAATGGTACTATGTGCAAAGACCATAGTTGATACAGTACCATACAACAGAGAAAACACAACATAGAACCTACAGTACTACAAGAGGCCCTGAACCCCATAGCTGAACTACACAAGGGTTAGTGCTCAAAACAGTATGCGACATGAAAGGGGAACTTTCTAATACTTGGGAAATTTCTAAAGCAAAATGTCAGAAATGGGAGGTGTGCTGTTATAGAGAGAGCATGAATAGTATTCTCCTCTCTCTCTCTCTCAGATGGATATCTAAAAAATTAATCAAACAGCTAAATTTGAAAAAAGGAAAGAAAGTAGGAGGGGGAAAAAAACCCTCTATGTGATGTGCTGCTTGTGAACCCTGAGACTTGTCAGATGATGCATTTATAATTTATTAAAAAAATCACACAATTTTTGTATTTGGAAAGGGGAAGGGGGAGGATGCCTATTAAAACTGAAGGAGAGAATAGCAGGGCTGCATTTAAAGACAAGATTAACCAGACTGTATGTCTTTTCAATGTAGCTCATGAATAATTCAGGTTTCCAGGTCCCTTCACACAGATTTGGGGTCTGTTTTGTCTGATTTCCTTTCCCCATATTTTTTTCAGAGTTGGAAAAAGAAAAAAAGAATCCCTTCCTTGTTTTCAATAGGATCAAAAATGTTGACAAAATCAAACATGTCAGTTCCACTGGTACAAATTTGAAGTAAGAGCATTGCCTTTAGCCTCGGGACAGACATTCAAAAAGCCTGAGTCCAAATTGATTCAATCTTTGCAGGTTAGACTAACCTGCAAAGCTTGAACTGATTTGGAGGTGGATAGACATTCCCTTTTCATTCCAGAAATACAGGCACATGCCTGCAGTGGCTCAGGCTAGAAGTCAGGGGGTGCCGGAGCAGCCCTCCCTTCACAGTGCTGAGCTGAGGTGGGTCATGGCCAGGCCCCGCAGGATGCTCTGATTAGGGAGGAGTTCTCCCCACCACCACCACCAGGAGGGAGCCAGCATGGAGTTGCTAACAAAGCATTCAGTTACACAGTAAAACAGAGAGTTGTTAGCATTTATCAGCCCATCAACAAAACAAAAGGATCTCTCATTAGTTCAAGCTCTTACACAACTTTTTCCAAGGAAGGAATGGAGGGACATTACCAGCTACATGTTGATTAGCTCTAAAAAGCCCTAAGCTGACACTGTTCTGTCTGCTTTTGTCCTGTCTCCCACACCATGGACTGTAGACAGCATGTGGTAAACTAGCAACTGCTGAGAGGTGTCTGTGTAAGGGACAGCAGAGGAGAGAATCCCTGTTTGAGCAGGGAGTTGTGTGAGGCGAGGGTGAGCAGGAGGATATCCAGCAGACACTGCTGTGCCTGATGTCTCTGTGAGAGCTGGAGCCAGGGAGAAGAGGGGAGGGGCCAGACTGAAACAGAAAGCAAAGCCCCACCCAGCAAAGCATCTGGGATGATGTGGGACTCTGGTTTAACTTAAACCAGGAAGGGGTCTGGGACAGGCATTGCATAAACTTGTTTGACCCAAATCAGTTAAGCCTGATACTACATTTAACCAGATTTATCTCAAACCAGTTTCAAACTGGTTTATGTGCACTGAACATCTGTTCTGTTACAGGTTTAAACTAGTTTCCGATCACTAAAACCGGTTTATGTGTAATGTCTGTCCCTAGCCCTAGCGTACTTCATATGGTGAAACTAAGAGAAAACTGGTCGTGTGCCTCCAACTGTTACCCTTTTTCTGGAAAACCAATGACCCTTTTCTCAGGATTTTAGATGCTAGGAAGCCTTTGAAATTCCACTTAAGAAACTTAAAGATTATGTCATTCCACAACTTAGGTTAAATTGGAGGAAATCCTCATCTATATCACCCCCTTGTTGCAAGCAGAGTGAAACAAACTCACAGGCTCTGACTCAAATCTCTAAACTTATAGTGGTTTCCAACATTCAAGGCTAATATTCAATCCAGTTGTTCAAAAATATTGCCTAGGGCCATCTTTGCCTGTACCTGCAGGGCATATTGGTATTGCAGTGCCAGGTATTTTTCCCTTGAAAAATACCAAATGAAAGTTTAAAGGAAGAAAGTGTTTCATAGATTTATTTATCAATAGTAGTGTGGCTCAAGGAATTATTTCAACTATTTACTAATAGTCAAGTTTGATTTCAGTCGAGGCAAAACCATTGGTCAACAGAAATACTAAGACAAAAGCAAGAGTTAAGTAAACAACCTTAGCCCATCAGAATTATTTGAGGCAAGTTATCAAAATAATCGAAGACACATAATAAGAAGGGATCAATACATTAAAGCAGTCAAAGGCACAGAGTAATTCTAAGAAAGAATGATCAATAATACCAACAGAACTCTCCAGCATTTAGTGATAAAAGCAATAGACATTCTGTGACATAATCAGAAGGCATCAATACAGTTTAGTTAATGCCGTGCCTGTCCTTCTGCTCTGTAGAAAGGGCAGCCAGGGAAAAATGCTTTGTCTTATCTAAAAAAGAAATCCCTTTTTGCTGTTTGAGGAAAGAATGTAAGCAGAATTCCAAGCAGAAGATTAAGGCCGCTGCTTTTTGTACCCCACTGTCTGGGACAGTCACCTAGACTCCTGGCAGCCCCGGGCAAACTTTTAGTATCGGGCCCCGCTTCCCCATAGATAATGCTAATAATAACTTTAAAATTACCACTTTTGGGCCCCCTTTCTGTCTGGGTGGCTACCCAGGTCGCCCATGCCTGTTTCCAGCCCTGGGGACAGTCAAAACAGTGGAACTGGTATAAATGTTACTCTTACCTTGAGGCACTTGGCTCCTTTATGGTAAGATCTAGAGTGGGAGAGTTTATGAATGGTGTGAACAGGGTTATTTGGATTGTCAGTTACTAATACACTGATATACATCCTTACATTGACTGGGTTTCTCCAAGGAACACGGCTGTTTCTTTGTAATTAATTCCAGCTGAACAAATTATTGAATGATACCAGCACTCTGATTCCATGGAGGTAACCTCTTGTTCTTCTTAAGAAGACCCGTCTTTTTCCTGTAGGCACAGCTATTTAAATTAGAACTATGACAATGCCTATTAAATTCAACTGCATTACCAGAGTCCGCAGAGCTGGCTGGAACATCTTCAGAGAATTGTGTTTCTTTGAAGCTGGTTTCCAAAATAATACTGCACCTTTTGGGAAGCAATGCTGTTCTTTAAGAAACAAAGCATTCTTCCCTCGGAGTAGATGGCTGGAAGCGGTCTTTTGAATGGCAGTCCATTATTGGCATGGATGCAATCTGTTTGTGAGCAATGGCCTTAGGCTTTAATCATTCTTACAGGCTGTCAGTCCTTCCCTTAGGCAATTATCACTAGAGCTGGATGAAATTTTCAACTGTAACTTTTTTGGTGAAATATGTAGATTCAGCAACACTGAAACATTTGGTCCCATATTTTTCAGGGTTTTTTTTCTTTGAGAGGAGGAAATCTGAAGAATTCAAAACATTTCATTTCCACATTTTCTAACTGAAATGTTTTGATTCGTTGAAAATTGAAATGGAATTTCATTGGGACACATCTTTTAACTTTATTTAAAAAAACAAAAACCTTTAAAATGTTTTTAAATTGCTTGAAATATAAATCAAACATTTTGTTTCAAGTAAAAAAAAATCATTTGCTCAGTCATTCAGTCCAAGGCATTTTTTTTTCAATTTGCAAGTCCAAATTGTTATTTGGTGGTTTGAACTAAAATTAAATTTTCAAATCTATGTTTTCTTCTTACCTCACTGGAATGAGTGATGGCAGTGTGGCTGACATTCCACAGACCCAGACTTCTCTGATTTGAGGTCTGTGACACATTACAGGCAGAAGGGCTGAAACATCCACCCTACCGGTCTTCCCTCCCTCCCTGACTCCTTCAGAGCTGTAATGGGTTAGCTCACTGGTGTTCCAAGATCCCATAAATAGAACTTCTTCATCTTTCCTTTAAAAAACGGGGGTTTAAAAAACTTTCTTGAACTTCAAGAAATATTTTCTCCTAATATATATATTTTCAAATCATTGCTTTCCTCTGAGAGAAATTTGCAAACTATATGACAATTTTGCCCTGCAAAGCTGAACGTACTTGTCAAATCCCTGTTTTCAGCATGCCTGGTGGTTTACAAGAGGGCAGCTGCCACTTAGCTAATCAGTGTCTTCTTCAATCTGCCAGCTTCCCTAATGAAGGGACTTCTCAGCAGTAACAATGCCCAAATGCTGCTCACCTTGCAGTGAAGCAGTTCATCCTTAGGGTAAAGCCAGTGACAGGTCACACTCTTTTGTTAAATTCAGGGATTTTTTTTCCCCCTCTCTTGACAGGAGATGTATAAAGATCATTCCCTCTCAAAAAGATTTCTAGAGATGCACTTTATCTCTAGGTGAATGTGTCACAGAAGTGGAGCTAATTAACTAGAACTCTGTTTAAAGAAAAAGGTTAATATTTTATCTCATGTTTTCTGTCTGGGGGAATAATTAGCTTTGGCAGCATTAACTCTGTCACTTCCCAAGGGAGTGAATGAGAAATTAGATTCTGAAGAGACACAAGAAGTAACTGAAAGAAAGTTGGGCAGTGCTTGATCTTTAGCCTAACAATATATCCAGTTGGAGGTTACTTTTTAATAGGAACTAGCTTGAAGCAGAAAATTAATGGGGGCAAAATTCCCACTCTCAGCAACACACAGTAGGCTCCACTCTGCTTGCTTAATGCCCTTAATTACAGGAGGCACCTTAAATCAAGGCATTGACACTCAATATGAGGTATCTAACCATGAGCATTGTCATCCATGTATGTACCATATGAGCACTAACTAAAATCCCTGACTCCAGCACTAGCATGCAGTGGGATAAGTGTCAAACCCAGGAAGGTTTCTCTGGGTGCAGGCAGTCTCCTCCTCAATTCTTCCAAAGTTCAGGTCTGGATGATAGAAAGAATGACCCAAGGACTCTTCACATCATGCATGCAACTCCCATTGACATTTATAGGAGATCTGCTCCAGCCTCAGGAGCAGTATATGGACAGAAAGATCAACTATGTGGATCACTGAGAAGAGGGTTACCTAGAGTTAGTATGCAGCAGTTAGAAAAGAAGACATAGGATCCCTGTCCAAGAGATTGTTAAGTGCCATTAACATATTTTCTGATTTATGAGCCAAATGGAATATTTAAAAAGTATTTCATATGAACCCAAAACAACTTTGTTTTTGTTTTATTTTCTTCTTGTTGGAATAAAACAGGGAAATATTTCAATTGTAGTTAACCAAAACATTTTGCTTTGGTTTTCAAACATCCCTTCCCTGTTTAAATTAAAGCTTGCTGATTTTCAAAAGGAACAAAAATGTTATTTTAAAATGAAAAATAGAAACATTTCATTTTGAAATGATCCAAAGGAACTGTTTTGACATTTTCTTGTGGGGGTTTTTTCAGCAGAAACCATTTACCAGATTCAACCAGAGTTCACAAGTTATTTCACTCTCTCTAAAACTGCATCTATCAGCATGTATTTCACCAAAGATAAATGTCACTCCAGTCTAGTTAAGTCGTGATAGGTAAGAAAGTGCTGACCAGTCCTGGCAAAATATGTAGAGAATCAAATCAAACTCTTCACAATAGACCTTTGTGTATCCAGCACATAAACATCCTTCCTTCTCTAAGGAGTAATAATAAGAACAAAGAAAGCTGAAGAGGGGAAAAGAGCCAGCATGTATGAAAAATATTCTAATGTATTATGGCACACATTGTGATCTTTCACCAGCTTCATGTTTATCCAACAGCAAGTGAATTCTCTCCACGCATCCCTCAGCTCCGTCTCATGACACTGTTTCTCTCGCTTCTGGTCTGTGGACACACTGCCAAGAACCTGGGTTTATGGTTGGGATGAGTGCATCATTACCTTAAGATGTGCAGTCTCATGAGTTAAAGTATCAAAATCTACAACATCAATGTTTTCTGAGGAGCAAGACTTCAATCAGAGACTTTCCACAATTCTTTTTGATCAGGGTCCACCTGTTCACTACCCCTGACCACGCCGGCACAGCGACCGTTTTCCTCTGCATTCCTAGCACTTTAAAATTTACCCTGTCCTGCAAGGCAGTGGTGGAGTGGGAAGCTCTTCTTTTTAACAGACCCTTAGGGCTATTCAGTAGAATTTCCCATGGGCTAGGCAATGCCATGCTAGCTCAGAATAATTTTAGTCAGCCAGGACCTCAGTTTAAAGAGCGAGAGTGCCTTTTGGAACCTACAAATCCCCAATCCTAGGCACAGGCATCAAGGCCTTTTCCACTTTGCATATCTTCTTAAACTAGATCTTTCCCTTTGTCCCTACCAAGAATGGAGCTCAGGAACATTTTTCTGCTGCACCAGCGGGTACCATCACTCACACTCACAGCGGACCTCCTTCTTGCCCTTTCATATATGCTAGCTTTACTCTCCAGAAAAATGAATAACTCAGCAACTTAATGGATGTGTTTTCATTCAGTCAAAACAACAGCCTATATATTTACTTCAGATCCCTGTATTATCTGGCACACTTCTGAACCACCTCCCAGGAGTTGTCAGCATCTCTGGATGATGTTTTCCCTTTTATTCAAAATTAAAGGCAAAAAGCTTGAACATTTTCATGATGAATTTGAAAGGCAGCTCTGCCACTGCAGACTCCGCATCTTCACCTACCAGGTGCTTGCAGGTGGACCCAGGGAGAGCTGACCTGCCTATGAGGAAAAATGGGCTCGTAGTGCTGCTCACTGGAGCTCTACTATGGTGCTCAGCACTTAAGTGTAGAGATATCTCCCCTCCACAGGCTCCAATGCCAATTTATTGAGAACCTTCCCTACCTTGCTAACCCCTTCTGGCTCTGACTCTCTGGTCCTCTCCTAGCCTCTCTTCCCCCTATTCAGGACAATACTTTCCATGAGTTACTTACCAATACCAGCTGCCTCCATAACATCCTTGCCACCACCAAACCAGGGTTTCCCTGCCGTGCCCTCTCTTATACAAAGCTGCAGCATCTTGGCATGGCAAAGACTTTGCTCTCATTTATACTGCTGTAATCCTGAAGTGACCACGCCAACTTAAATGTACAATTTATAATGCGTGTTAGGTCCAGCCTACAGTAAAGGGTAGGCCAGTTTAAAGCGGCTAGTATTCACTTGGGATTCGGATTCAGCCGATTCGGGGGGCAGCGATTCAATTCAGTGATTCGAATCACTGTCCTGATTCCATTCAGCTGATTTTGATTCAGAGATTTGGCAGCAGCAGAATCTCCAAATCAGCCAGGCCAGGCCCACCCCCACTCCTCTCCCAGCCCAGCAATGGCTGCCCTTGCCCTCCCCAGCTCCCAGCACTTGAGGGAAAAAAAGTCCCAGCTCAGCAGGTGCTGCCGGGCAGGGGAAAATCCCCACTGCCCCCCCACACTGTATGGGGGGCTCTGCACAAGCCCTTGAACCCCCTGCCCCCTCAGCCCCCTCATGGGTGCCCCGCACAGGCCAGCTCCGTCTCTTTAAGAAAAAAAACCTGACAAAACCCCAGGACTCACTGCTGCTGCCAGTGGGGGTGAACCCCGCTGTCCCGCACCATGTGGACAGTTTTGAACGCTGGACGCGTTCAAGTCAGCGGGTCCGGATGCTCTCCA